AAAATTGCAGGCGCAACCTTTACTCCAAAAGCCAGTCTGTTGTATTTGTACAACCCTCTATGGGTGTTTATGCAGAGCAATTTGGAACTTTCTTCTTCCACCTCTATCTGAAGGTATGCGTCCGAGAGGTCAATTTTAGAAAAAAAAATTTCCACCATTGAGTTTATTGAAAATTTCTTCAGGGCTAGGGAGAGGATAGTGGTGATCTTGCAAGGCATCGTTTAACCCTGTGGAAAAATCTGCACATACTCGTATTTGATTGGACTTCTTTTTTTTTTACGTAGACCGTAGGTGCTGCCCACTCGCTGAAAAATCTGTTTTTGACAGAATACCTGCTTGTTCGAGTCTATCTAACTCTTTGTTGATTTGCTCTAGAGCAGCGAAAGGGACATTCCGTTTCTTTTTGAATACCGGTTGTGCACCGTCCTTCACCTTGAACTTAGCTTTCATTTTAGTACATTTCCCAAGGCCGCCAGAAACAAACCTGGGGAAATTGTTGTTTGAGTTCCTTTTTAGATTTACCAAATTGGACGTTGTACTTTGTATCTTGCGACAAAATGTACTCATTGGGCAATCCCAAAGATTGAATTTTTCTATCCAATCTGTTCCAAATAAGTTATCTGAAGTTTTTTTTCAATACGTAGGCTTTGAGCTTTTTGGTAACTCCATTTAGTGTTACTGTAAGTATTACCTCGCCTAAAATGTTAATCTTTTCGCCAGTTACGGATTTTGCTGTTTTATCCGTTTTTTAATAAGGTCGGCTTGTTTAATTTTCGCCAAGTACGCCAGTTAATGGTTGAAATATCGGAACCCGAGTCAAGCTGGAATTTAATGGACTTATTGAAAATATCCACAGTTACATATTTTCTTAAATTCCTATCGACAATATTGTCAGATTGAGCTTGCCTAATTTTATTTTTTGGGTTTTCTCGTTCTGTTGGCGTACCAGCACGAAGTTAAAAATGCCCACTTTTATTGCAATTTTTGCAATATTTTTTGTTCTTAACTGGACAGAATTTCATCCAATGCCATTTACCACAATGGTAACATGGTCCGGGCGGTTTCTTTTACCTTTTGGGTTTTGGTTACTGCGGAATTTAGGACATGAGATTTGCCTTTTGTCTTTTTTGAGGGGAATAGGAGGTAGACTTGCTTCTGATTTTATTAATCTGAGCCACACCTGATTCCTCGATAGTGTTTGAGTCACGCTTTACAGATATTACTCTTTGACAGTCCTCTGCCAGTTTTTGGAGAGTCAATTCTTATTCGTTCTCAAGCTTGGTCAGTACCCGTCGTCTGACTTCGGCGTCTTCTGCTGATACTAGACCTTGTGCGAAAATTAAGCACTTGAAATCATCGGCAGTCAGTTCGGCTAGTTTAAAATCATTACAGAGCTTGTTTACCGATGCTGCAAACGTTAGAAAATCTTGCTGGTTGTCTTTGACAGTGTTCAGGCATTTCCAACGTTTGTGGAACAAGGTTGTGTTAGGCCCGAATAGTTCCGATAGGAGCTTAATAGTCTCTGAAAAAATCCAAGTCAGTCGTTTTCTTGGGTAGTATGAAATCTACGAACCTACTATGTTCTGTAGTTCCCAGTTTTCTCAATAGTAGACGTACCTTTTTTTTTTTACTGGACCATTGTTCACAGTCTACGTTGAAAATATCTTCGTAGCGCCTGTAAAAAATCTCGAACGTTTTGTCGTTCTCTGGTACGTATTCAAAGGTTTCCATTGAATTGTAGATTGTACTCTGGGAGAATATTGTATCTTTTTCAGAGTTTGAGCCTTTTAATGCATTTACGAGTAATTCTTTAAGTTGTTTCTGTTGTAGTTCAGCATTCTGAAGCGTAATTTTTTGGAATTCCATTTGTTGTTTATGTAATTCCAAAAATAGTTGTTGTTGTCTTTCTTCTGATTTTTGTTGCTGATCCAAATTTAGTTTTAACATTTGGGCAACTACTTTTTTTTGAAAATCTTCCATATTTAAAAAATGACAGCGCTTTTTTTTTGTTGCTTTGAAACACGTGTACTAAGAGGAGGGTACACAAAAAAATCTTGATAGATTTTTTTCCTTCTTTTTTTTTTTACAGAAAAAAAAATATGGACAGACAATTAGTTAAACTAAACTAATTATGTGTTTAGCTTTTTTTTTTTTTTTGAGATTCCCGTGGTTCCGTTAATTTTAACGTAATTGAATAAATTTTCACCACACTTATGTATTTTTTTTTTTTTATAGAGGTACAAAAAAGAAAAAACTCACCTCAGTGAATTTGAGGGGAGAATAATTTTATGCACGAGTTCAACTCAGTTACATAAAAAAAAAAAAAAAGATAGTTTTTTTTTCGAAAACTTGAGTACAATGGTAGTACTTCCGCTCTTGTATTGTCAGTTTGTTTTATGAACAAACTGTTTTTTTTTTCTGTGTGTGGGTGTGTAAAAATCGTTCTCGTAATGTTATTTGGACAGACTTTAATATTCCGTAGATGTCGAATCGCTAGTTCATCACTGATGTTTCGTATTGGAATATATGTAGACGCTGGGTGTTTAGCTTTTAAATCGCTAATGTAGTAATACCAGCTTAATTTCTCGTTCAACACTGCTGTGGGAACGCGTGTAGTTTGTGTATTTTTCGAGTACTGTCGCTATTGATATGGTGAGAACGAAATTCTCGAATCTTTCTGTCGCCACTGTTGTCGGACTGGCAAATTATTGCGGTTTTTCGACGTGAATGCGTTTCACGAATTCTTCGTCGACCCAGATGTAAGGTATTTAGGTTTCGCCGTGAGTGCGTTTCTAGAATCCTCGTCGCCACTGATGTGGGGCCAAAGTTGGGACCACAGAAGGAAAACACGGATCACGGATTAGATATAAGAAAGATATATTAACAACAGGTTACAGAGATAGTGTAAGCGGAGCTTACTATATGTTAGTGTCCAATACTGGTAGTCGTACGCGGCTCTCACTGTCTCTCTGTCTCTCTCCTGTTTCTCTGTAGAGTGTTATGTCGCATACTTAATATAGACCTGGAAGATATATATATATAATAAAATTTGTCTCTATTTACAAAACAGTTGATAAAAAAACAAACAGATGAAGATCTTATCGAAAATGAAAAAAATATCGTAAACTCACTGAAACATATTAAAACAATTTATTTTCTGTTTCAACTGGAAAATATAAAATAATAATGGAGTTCGAGAGCCATCATAAATTTAAACAGGCAATTTTCTTAAAAAAATTGAAAAAACCAGCAAATAAAATAATATAAAATAAAATTCCTTAAAAATGCTAAAATAAAAAATAAATCGTAAAATAAAATAAAAATAAATAAAATAAAAATAAATCGGTGGGTTTCTAATTTTAACAAACATCATCGAAGCAAAAATAAACAAAAAAAAACTAGGCCAATAAAAAGGACCGCTAAAAAAGAACAGATTTATTAAACTAAAATCCACAAATACAGCTTCAAAATAAAAAAAAAACATGTTGATCAATAAATCCCGAAAACCCAACATCTGAAAATATGTCCGTTCAAAGTGTTCGCAAAATCTTGCAAATACCCAGGTCTCCACATGCATCCCTAATTGTTGTATAAAGCAAAGCGAAAATATATGAAAAGGAACAATTTTGTAAAGGACATTCTCACAACATCCTCCTAACAGCTGTTCTGGTCTGCAGTGATGACGATATTCAGTCACCCCAACTAGGTGTCATGTCAAAGGCCTTTTTTACGTGGGCATTCTGAAAGCAACTAAAAAAATGCCCATTGAACCCGTATAAACTGGTTCAATATATTTTACCTCCCAAATGAAGGATCTCCGCCCTTCACTGGAAAAGTTAATCCTATACTACGACAACAAAATTCAACCGAACAGTCGCTCAAAAGTACTGGGCCGAATATCTGCAGTGATGAAAACTTTCATTTATCGGACACTGTGGTTAATAAACAGAATTTTTTATGCTGGTCAGCCAATATCCCCATAAACTCCATAAATGATCACTGCACATCATGCCAAAAAGTTACTATCTTTTGTCCAGTGGTTGATTTTTGGCGTGTTGGGGTTCTTATTTTTTCGAAAAACAAGGTTTACAGTAACTGTTAACCTTGAAACCGTTATTGTAACACCTCAAAATTTCTCCATTCTAAAGTCAAAATAGTTAACTTCGTCGCTCATAAAATTCATGATGTAAACCAACAAGATGGTGCCAACCATCGCATAAAAACAACAAAATTCTTCATGCAATCCTCCTTGAAATGTTCCATCCTCATTTTGCTGCATATACACATATCCACGTTCTCTAATTTATACCCCTTGTGATTCTTTTCTATAGGGGCAAAGAAAAACATCTGGTTAACAAGACAAAATACAATAATAAAACAAAAAATATTCAGCAAAATAATTCAAAAATTAATTCCATTCAACAGGATATGATTCAAAAAATCATCAAACAAAAAAGACAGACTAAAAAAACTGCATCGATATTGCATTTTCGATAAAATGGAAAAATTTTCAAAACCAAACACAATAAAAAAAAAATGTAATTTACAATGACAATAATAAAGCTTTCAACACATGACCATGTGTTTGTTTTTATAAAACCATTGTCAAAATAAAACAAATTTTCTGCCCCAACTGTATCAATAAATGTCTATAGATAATAGATAACCGATAGAAAATTGTAAGTGAAACAAAACGAAACGATAAAATGTTTGACAGATAGAGGATAGAGATTAAGGAAATTGACAATTTTGGCCCACCGAATTAGCTGTGCTTTCAAAAACATATATGATAATAGAAAAAACATGGATGATTTAATAAAGGGAGAGGGATATAGAACCTACTAATTATTTGAAATACTAAAATAGATAGATAGAATAAAATAGATAGATAAAATATATAAAATATTAAATGCAATAGATAGATAAATTGAACCTAAGAAAATATATTAAACAAAATGATCAAAAAAAATAAATGATAAAATTAAGGAAGAGAAAATATATTAAAATAAATAAAGATAGATAGATAAAATGTATATGAAGAAGAAGATAAATAGATAGATAGATAAAGATAGATAGATAGATAGATAGATAAAAAACAAAAGCGTTTTCTTATGATTATGTGTTTGTTTATTAACTAAACCAGACCTATCAGGTCTAATTTTCTGTCACCAATATATATATATATATATATATATATACATATATATATATATATATATATGTAAAGTTAAAGATAAAGAAAAATAGTTAACAACCTATCAATCTAACATGTTCCACTGTACAAAGCACGCACATCCGAAAATGATTTTTTACTAGTTAATCATGTTTCATATGCATTCACACAAAAAACAAAATACACATTACGAAAGTCAAAAATACCCGTGACGGGTAAATGGTCAAGGGAACGCAAGGGCAACTACTTGATGAGCTTGTATGAATTGATATATAACATGCTAAAACACTACAAGTGATAGAATGCATATAGAGTCATATTCAAAACTTAATCCTGAAGGGAATGGCATATCGAATAAACCATGATGGAATTAACGAGGAATAAAAAAAATTTCTGCATTTATTGAATAATGAAAAGAAATCTTAAAAAAATTTTTTAACAAAAACTTTTTGACAATAATTTTGTGACTTGATTTTTTTTACTTATTTTTTTAAAAAAGGTTTAAAATATATATAGAACTGTTATTTATTTTTTCAGACTTAATTGACATTCCTTCCAAACCTTTTGATTAAGGTCCACACTGTTTAATCTCATTTTTTATTATCATTATTTCCCCTTCTGCATCCTGGGTATGACGATAAATACACCCGGCAGCAGTGCCTCTGATCTGGAAATTTTGAGGAGAGAAATCACCTCTTAACATGAAATTGTTTAACAGTCTAATTTGACCTGATATATATCGCCTTTTAGGGACCCAATTCGATAACTAGTTAACCCCTGATTTTTATCAAAACACTATGAAAATTTTTTTTTTTTTTTTTTTTCATAGTAAAAAAAGTACTAACAACACAACATATTTTAAAAAATATTTTGAAATAAATTTCTGTCAAAGAAACAAATTACCAGGAATTTACTTTTTTAAATCAAGGCAATGCTCTGAAGAAAGATAAATTTCGGCATTAAATGAATCCATTGAAAGATTGATATTCAGCTAAACAAAAAAAAAACAATTAACCCTTCTGGATTATACGCGAGACCAATTTTTGTTCTTGTTGGAAATGTTCAAGTGATGTTAACCATTTCTGTTATTTATTTTCAAGTTAAAGGTTTGAAATTTTGAAATGTCACTTTATACAGTCTGTTTAATTCATTAAATTATCGTTTGGGAACATTCATTATAGATCATCCCGTCGAAGTTGTAACCGTGTTCTGTAGAAAAGTACCGATTTTAAATGTGAATTAAGTTTAAGCATCTAATGATTTTTTTTTTCTTTTTCTTTCAGATTTGGCGGACATTTATCCGATATTATTTTTTTAGGACCTTGCCATGACGAACAGCACATGATCAATACCATATAAATAAATTTATACCAATAACATTGATTTATTTACTTTTGTTGATCCGACTTAATTTTTTCACACCCTATATATCTAATCCGTTTAATGAAACACCATTTTTTAGTGACAGATGCATAGACACTTCTGATTGACATACATTCATTAATAAATGTCTAGATTATTTAAACATCTTTCGTTTTTCTTTTCAGGATAATATTTTGCATTTTAGGAAAACAATGTAACCTCGGAAAAAACTATTTTTGAATTAATTTCCGTATCTCTTACTTTGAACTTTCTTCAGCCATTTTATTTGAAATATATTTTTTTGTTTTTTTTTTTAATATAGTTACACTTTCGGGTCGTACACACATCACATACACAAACACACACACATTTATATATATTTTCCTTCTGTTCTAAAATTTATCATTTAACCATGAAACAGGTTGTCGCTGCTGGACCTTATTGTCCACTTTTATATACGTACATTTTACATACATATTGTCTACGATTTACATAGGCTCTATTCTTGATATTGAGAGCATTAAAATTTAACCCATGACTTAAAACTATTTTATCATATATATGGTGGACTTTTCCTTCATATTCGACGTATGAGAGTCAGGCAGCTCCGTTCCTAGTAACCGACAGCTCAGACACCTGCACATATGATTTGATTATAGTGGTGAAGGCTTTGTGCAGAACCATCCACACATTTTGAAGGGCTGAATACAGAGACCTGGTGCACTACGTGCCACAAGGTCCCCAAATGACCATCCGCAGGTTTTGAAATTAAGAGTTGTCCTTCTCCTAGACCAGTTGCCATTCACGGCTATAGAACCAAGTCGGTTCTGCTATTTACCCATAGCTTTGGGGAGAAGAAGAGGATTCATACCTTTCCCAAGGGTATTAGCACGTAAGTGAATGTAATGGATGCGACTTGAATACGAACTCGGCTCTCCGATTCCTCAAATAGAGCCGCTATCCACTACTACACCGTGCCTCCTCTGTGTGTGTGTGTGTGCGCGCGCGTGTGTGTGTGTGTGTGTGTGTGAATATCGTGTATAAAATTTGATTAATTTATAGAGGCAGAGTGCCCAGAATTAGGGATAGAGCATTTGCAAATATAAACAGTTTGGGATGCAAATCAACACTGCATGGATAGTGATTGGCTGTTTCACGAGTGTGTATATATATATATATATATATATATATATATTCTGATGGAATTTCCTTCTTGTCTTGTACAAGACGATCATTAAAATCAATAGACAAAAATATCTTTTTGTCATTAATAATAATTACAGAAAAATATTTGCTGCCTAAATGGACAGTATATATATATATATATATATATATATATATATATATATATATATATATAATAATAATGCTCATTTGAAAAAAAACTCGGATAGCTCAACTTGTAGATATGTCAAAACAAATCGGTAGCCTAGGAAAAATTGGAAATAAAAAAAAAAAAACTAAAAACATTCGAACAGGGCGAAACAAATCGTCCAGTGTATTAAGCCCTTAGACTAAAGAAAAACCAAGCGAGTAGTAAGACTAAAACGTAGAGTGCTCAATACACTAAGTAGAACGGGAATAAGTAAAATAAATCCTAACGACACAGGAAAACCTTAAACGGTAATTATTTACAAAGCAATATAATATACCAAGCTACTGTAAAATAACCAGATAAAGAAGAAAAAGTATATATAGGAGTAACTGAAGTAGCCTGGAAACAAAGAAATTATGCACACAAAATATCTCTCACAAATAGTAAATGCGCGAACAGCACAATGCTTTCTAAGTATATCTGGGAAATTAAAAAAAAACCGCTAATCACAGCAAAAATATCATGGAAAATAAGAAAAAGATCATGAGCCTACAACAATGAACCCAAAACCTACAAACTTTGCCTGGAGGAAAAATAGCTATTATTACCTTCCCAGAACAAAATAAATTACTAAATAAACGATCTGAGCTCATGTTAAAATGCAGACATGAAAACAATTTTTTACTACGTTATTAAAAGTCGATAACTGAAAGAAGAAATAAAAATAAACAAAATGATATAAAAAACAAGTAAAATAAATTAACCCAAACAGATAATAAACAAATTAACAAACCAATCCCGTTAGAATAGACGAAGTAAAATAAATAAATATAAAAAATAAATACATCAAATACAAGTAAAAATTATCAACCCAAATAAATAAAGTAAACAATAAACAAATTAACAAACCAATAACCTTTAAAATAGATTACAAAAATCAATCCAAAAATTTTGCGAGAAAATATCTATAACTGCTATATAACAATAAAAAAACCGAAAACTGAATAGAATAAATAAAAATATACAAAATAAAAAATAAGCAAATATATAAGAAAATATAATCCTAATAAATAAATAAATTAACAAATCGCTCCCGCTAAAATAAATGTTAGAACGAATAAAAATAAACATAAATAAGCAAAAATTAGTAAAAATAATCAATCCAAATAAATAAATAAATAAATAAAATAATAAACAAATTAAAAACTGTCGCCTGCCAAAATAGCAGAATAGACTACGGCAATCTATCCAAACATTGGACGGAATAAATAGCTTTATCTTTCCAGACCAAAAAAAAAATATTAACTAAAAAACAAACAAATCCCCCCAAAGTCTTTACTACGTTAATAAAACATTGAAAACCGAAAAGAATAAATAAATATAAAATAAAACATGAAAATAAAAAAGCATGTGAAACAAATTAACCCAAATAAATAAGCCACTCCCACCAAAATGACCGCCAGAATGTATCACCCACAATGCACCACTGACCCATATATATAAATAGTGGAGAAAAATCCAACACTCGAGGCCTGACGATTGCATCTAACATGAAACAGCCTGTCACCTCTGAGTGATAACTTCAATGTTCACTTATATATATATTAATTTTATATTTCGGCAACAACATTTCTTCTAAACATCTTTAAATATGGCAGACAACGAAGATTTAATTAATTTTTTATTTCTTTTTTCCACCGACCTTACGTAAGAAAAAAGCATTCAATTTTTAAAGATGGACACCTGTCTGTATATAAAATCATATTTATATTTGAACGTGTCCGCCGAGTTTGCTAGAGAACCTTTGCTTTCCAAGGGAGAGGTGAGTTCTTAATGTTATCGCTTTGGGGAAAAGAAGTACATAGAAAATGGCCTAAAGATTATAATTTTATGAGTCAATTTGTGAGATGGGACTGTTCAAAACTGTCCATGGCTGCAGATTATAATAGAAAATGTGTAAAATATATATATATATATATATATATATATATATATATATATATATATATATATATATATATATATATATATATATATATATTCATAACATATATATATATACACACACATATACACATATATACATATATATATGAAAACTAAAAGCAAGAGACATAAAGTAGACATATAATAACAGCCCGTAAGTATGTATATATATATATATATATATATCCATAAATATTTCAAAGTTATTATATATATATGATTAGATTAATATTATTATTCATATTATTAGATTACTATTGGTATTATTATTA